TTAGGGTTGAAGAGCCTCAAACGCGGGTTCCCAGAGACTCCAATTTATCTCTTAATTTGTGGAATATATACCTCTTAAATCGTATGAGGGGTCCTGTTATATTTTGAGGTATATATTCCTTAATTCAGGGATATTGGATGCTAGGGGTTTGAGAGTGCAAGTGGTGTAAGGCCTCGGTCTTCGGGGCTGGTTGTGGGATCTAGGGCCGAATCTAGGGTCTCATTCTAGTATGCCGCGGCACATCTAAATCCGTCGTGTGATCGTGTTCTGCAGCGATCCTTATCCTAGATGAAAGAGCATCGTATCAGAGACTACATGATGTCCCTGAACCCTGTGGTACTTGTCTTGCGGTCGCTCGAGCCTCTCCGGTCAGGCGGAAGCGGACGATGCTGCAGGTCAGGGCCTAAGCTCCTGAACATTGAACAGGTGATGTAGGGGCCTGTACAATTTGTGATAATATGGGGTCCAGTATAATCTATCTATCTATCTGTCTGTCTAAATTTGTATCTCTATAAGGGTTTAGGGTGCGGGGGCCTTAATATTTAGAATCGGGTTTGAGGGTATCTTATACTATAATTATAGTAAGCAGCCCCCTAAAAACCCTATTCTAATTTTTAAGGCCCCTACATTTATGCAGGGTTGTCGGAAGCTCCCGTAATCTGGCAAGACGGGAACCCGTGCAAAAATGGCATTTCAGGGTTGAAGTGGGAAGGGGGTTGACGCAGACAGCTTCCAAGAGCAATCAAACCCTCATCTCGAGACTCCACACATGGGTAGTTCTCTAAATTAGGATCCCTTTTGGAGGTCCTTTTTTGATAAGGGTGCCGTACTCTATTGGGGAGCTAAAAGGGGACCCAAATTCTGCCCAGAGACTCCAATATCCCTTAATTAGGGAATATAGCTTGAATCTTCTTAGGGTTCTTATTATGATTTACGGTATATTCCTTAAGGGATATTGGAGTCTCTGGGTGAAGCAAGCATCGCAGAGAACTCTTCTGCCTAGGCCCCCACACACACACTCACCCATGGCTTTTGAAAAGGTCTTGAGAGTGGGAGTGCTGCTTCATGCCAAGAAATGCTTTTGTACGCAGAACCCAACAGCACAAGACAGTACTTGGAGGGTCGGGGGCCTTAGTAACTAGCTATTTTATGGACTTATACGAATCATAACCCCAATGAGGTCCCCTGACCCTAGAAAGTACGCATCATGCCGGCTTCAAAAAGCCAGGCTGCCCGTCCCCATGGAGCGCATGCCGGTCCCGTGGGAGGCCTTCCTCCGCTGGCAAGTTTCAGGCGGAGGAGACGCTTGGCACGCAAGGAGAATGTGGGTTTCCGAAAATATAGGGACCCTAATATAGTACCCTAAATAGTAGGGTCCTTATTATAAGGACCCCAAAACAAGGTGCCCTAATTTTCGGAAACTCCCAAATCTGTGGTTGCGAAAGGCAGGTCCTGCTCAGAGATTTCCCATTTGTGTGTTGAGAAGAGAGGTCGTTAACATATGGAAGTTTACATTTCTGACGAGAATCCCAAAGCCAGCTTCATGCTTCAAGCTGATGCCACTATAGTGCAACGTTGCTTGCTCATGCTGATGATGCCCCCACACACACACACACGAAGTCACGCTCAGCTCCTGTCCGCAGCCGTTCAGGCTTCAAACATACCCGAAGGCCGTGCAGTCGGTGATAGTCAGGCCCTCTTTTCAGACGACTCATAGGCCTGGAGCAGATATTCTTGTTGCAGCAAGCAGCAGAAAGGCGCTACGTGTGTTGACGCAGCCTGTTTGAGACAGGCCATCCTGTCTGTGCTAAGCAGCAACTTCAAGACCATGGCAGCACCGGCACCTGCGGCTGTCCACAACTACTACCTTGTCGGGAGCGTGCTTTATCTGATCGGAAGCGCTTCTTGCTCTGCCGATTCAGAATGTACATAGTTTACATTTTGGCTTGCTCAGGTGTGATCGCAGGAGACCCTTAATCAACGTAATATCATGGTTATCTTATAGTCGAGCATTAGTACGAGTACTAATCTATGTTCATGAGATACTAAGGTTGACAAAAACAGTTAAGATTGTATCTCGGCTCATTAATTATTCTGAACACTACGATGATTGCTACAAGTACTGTCTGTTGTTACTTCATCAAAGTCGTTGTCTTGATTTCCCGTGTGCTTCTAATCGCTCGTGGACCTGCACCTTGCGTGTCCCACGCGCGTTTTTCCCACTGAATCTGTGTATATCTTACTTAGGGCTTCGTTCATACCGTCATCTTGTCTGAGCAGAGGGATGATGGCTTTCGACCATGCGCCGCAAGGTTTTCTACACACTCGCGTCCCTGCTGACCGAGTACGCCAACCTGGGACATGCAGGGAATTTCTGCTTCTTGCCAAAAACGTTGGGGGGCTGAGCAAGGGATAGGAGTCTATGTGGCTGTCGAGTGGTTCAGAGGGATACATTGGGGCTTTGGAGGGCTTTCGGCGAACGTATGGAGCGGTGTTGTGAAGTGTATGGAGATTGTAAAGATTTATTATGCTTGGCATTAACAACGTGAATTGGGTTCGCGAAAAAAGACACCTTACGAGTCGGGCCTGGGATGACAAGCACCTCATCGGACAGCCCAGATGAGAGATCTGGTATCCCGGTACTTCCTGCATCTTACCCTTTTCTCCGTTCCTGCAAGCGGACTCTCCGAGTTGTACGACATCCTGCAGACGCGTGCGGCCCCAGCATCCCATATAGGAACCCTCGAAGTACCCCTTAAAGTAAATCTTATCGGAAATCCTGTATGCTGGCACTTTGAGGCACCCCTTCTTGGAACCCCTCTATATAAGCTCAAAGTCAAGGTTTCGTGCTGGGCAGCGTCCTCTTCGTGGCCGATGCTGCCGGGGTCCGGCCATGTAAGCCCGCAGCGCATCAGAACCTTGGAAAGATCCCATCAGGGTTTAGGGTTTAGGGATTAGGGTTTGGGGTCTTCGAGCCTACATACGGTTGATGATATAAATCCTGCATTACCTTAAGGACCCTAAACTTATGCGAATTATGGCATATTCCTTGTTATGGGTAAAGCAGGATTTATATCATCAACCATACGAATGACATTACGCAGAATCCACTATGTAGCAAAGATATGCTGATTTCGTAAGGCTAGATGGAGGGGAGTTCCCTTCTGTGTCCCCAGCCTGAATATCGGCAAACGTCAGCACCCCAAGGTGGAGAGTTGGGCACCCTAAACCCTAAACCGGCATCCGTTGAGCCCCATATCCGAAAGCTCTCTGAGCCAAGGAAGGCAGATGCGGTGCAGACCCAACAGGTCTGACCTGACGTGCCCTCGTCTGCCGGCGCCGGGAAGCCCTGGAGAGATGATTTCAATTGGGGAGCCAGGAAGGTTTAGGGTTTAAGGTTTAGGGTTTAGGGTTTAGGGATCCTTACCTACTCGGGCTTCATTAGAAGGGGATCTATATGTGGGAGATCCCTATGTAACTCATCCCTCTTCTGGGCCATGGCGCTTGCAGAGGCTACAACCTCTTTAGTCATGCACAGCTCTGAGAGTTTATCCCGTGAAAACGCTCGCCGCGCCGCCCCACCAAGACAAGGGCGACGTCAGGGCGCAAGGAATTCTGCGGAACTTGGATTCTTCGACACCGCCCGTTCCTGCCAAGATCGCGATTCGGGTGGCTGCTTCGAGCTTCTTGCGAGAGGCTCTCAGAAAATCTTCAACTCTTCGTAGTGTCTCAAGGAATCTCGGGACCCTTGGGAAAAAGTGCACGTGCAGTCAAACTTCACGGGGCATACCGGATCATCACGAACCAAGTCAGGCAAACGCCTGGTCAGTAGGGATACTCGTGGACCCAGCGGAGAAACAGGCTTGCACCTGGTCGCAAAGAGCCCGTTGAGTATTCTAGGATGATAACTTTTACTCTTCACTATACGGTTCCTGAACATAGTCATACTGCAAATATACACCAAACCCCTACGAAGTGAGCCCAACCCTGCATGCAGGGGCAGCGAGTGCGTAACCTTGTATGCTGCTGCCTGTTCTTGAGCATGGGCGCATGGTAACCAAAACCGTTTACCCCAAAGTCCTGACATTCCCTGAGCCCAAAAACCCCACACTCTCAACAACCCCCAAGCACGGCCCTACGGCCTATACTTAAATATACGTAAGCCCTAAGCCATAAATCCTAAACTCCTAAGACCCTAACCCCTAAACTCCCCCAAGACCCTAAGACCTCAAGACCCTAAAGGCCCCAAAAACCCCTAAGACCCGAAGCATAAATCCAAAACTACCTAAACCCGAAACCCCTAAGATCCTAAGATCCTACGACCTGGCCCCTAAGATGCTAAGATCCTACACCCTACACCCCCATAAGATTCCTAAGATCCTGAGACCTAAAACCCCTAAGATCCTAAGATCCTAAACCCTAAACCACCCTAAGATTCCCAAGATCCTAAGACAGTAAACTAAGATCCTAGACCCTAAACACCTTAACTAAGACCCTAGACCCTAAACCCCTTAACTAAGATCCTAGACCCTGAACCCCTTAACTAAGACCCTAAACCACCCTAAGATTCCCAAGATCCTAAGACCCTCGGAGCCAGGATGGGAGAGATGCCGAGCCCCAAGGGCCTTTGGCCAAATCTGCTCGACCCGCCGCAGCCAAGGCCCTGAAATCGCTGGGGGTTCACGGTTTGCCGTCGTAGGGTTGAGGGTTAGGGGTTTAGGGTTTAATTGTGGTCATATAGGGTTGAGGGTTGAGGGTTCACGGGTTTATCGTCGTAGGATCTAGGGTAGGGGGTTGAGGGTGTACCCTTTTTCGTCGTGGGGTTGAGGGTTGAGGGTTCACGGTTTACCGTCGTAGGGTTGAGGATTGAGGGTGCACGGGTTTGTCGTCATAGTCTAGGCTTGGGGGTGTAGCATTTTAGAACGCTCACTGCGGCTTCCGCAGCTGTCTGCCTTTCTCAGGGATCTGCAGCCTCCCAAAGAGGACCGGCGCCTCGCGCCATGAGTTGGGGGTGGGGCTGGAGCCACGGCCACTGGCCCGGGCATGGCTGGGATCACTGGCAGGGCTGGCGCTGGCACTGGGATTGGGATCATTGGCATGACTGGCAGGATTGGGATTGGGAGGGATGGTTTAAGGGCAAGGGCCATAAGGGCCATAAGGGTCACAAGGGCCACAAAGGCCACAAGGGCCACAAGGGCCATCGCCACTGTGACGGTCGAGATCTGGCGAAATATGCTTCGGATGATCTGAGCACTCTCGGCGTGCTTGGCTCAGGGGTGAGTGGACTGACCTTCCGCGGCAGCTTCCAGACTCTTAGTGGCAAGGTGCTTTAGGGACCTTACTAGACTTTGCAAAAGGTATACCTTTATATGCTGGAGACATATGTAGACTAGACCATCATAGTATATTCAGGAACGCTAAGGAACATACCGGTGGCTGTGAAAACCTGGGCCAACCATGTTGAGTTGGAATGCCTCCGCCGGATCGCTTCGACATCCATGGAGGCTGTGGCTGGGTTCTTGTTAAGGGATGTAATCTAACTTACCATAATAGGGATCCATAGTAAATGATATGGTTTCCGTATTTTGGTAACTTAGATTCAATCCCTTAACATGGAGGCGGTGGTGCCTGTGCTTGCCGTGGATCACCAGACACCAGAGGTTCGGAAATTCCTGAAAGCCGGTTTTTTGTCCAATCAACTTCTCTGCCATAATGTAGGGGCTGAAACAACTAGAGGGTTTTTTTTTGGGGGGGGGTCCTTATTCTACTTATACTATCATGGGCCTTAAACCCCTATCCTAATTATTAAGGCCCCCACATTATGCCCTGCGTCTAGGTTTTTGTCTGCTGCATCTTGAGGAACCCATGTCTAGTCCCAAAAGGTCCTACCTGGACCCCCAAAAGTATGTGAAATAATAGCCGTTTATGGGCCTTGGGCCATTATTTTACCTACTTTTGGTGGTTTGGGCAGGCTAGGTACCGACGGGTTTTCGGGGCCCAAAGCGACGAAGGGCCCCGTCCAAATCCTCAAGCTGGCCTCGCACGGCACGCTCACAGCCGCCCTTTCAAGGGGCTTTGGCAAGGCCTTTTGCCTGCGGAGTTGGGGGTTCACGCTGCAGCTGTATCCATAGATACAGGCCTTGTGAGCTAGAGGCTTCGGGTTGTACTGGGAGAGTGTGTAGGGCTCTCGCTTGTATTTAAAAAAACACTTCTGATTCAGCCTGGGCATGTGACACGAAGCACAGGCAAGCTTCGTGGCCATGATCGAGAGTCTCGCCCTGGGTCTCTCAGAGTTGCATTCGGCCGGCATCCTCCACTGCGACGTGAAGCCGGACAACGTGGTGCTGCACTCTCCGAGGTCCGATGCCCTTGCGGGGCGAAGCCGCAAGTGCCGGTAAGGTGGAACTCGCCACGAGCTTCGGTTAAGACACCACAACAAGCTTAATAAGGGCATGCATGCATGCATGCATGCATGCATACATATATATATATACATACATATGTGTGTATATGTATGTGTATATATATATATGTATGACATAAGTAGGTAAATAATTATATATATGTATGTATGTATGTATGTATGTATATATATATATATATGTATGTATATATATATACACATATACATATATGACATATGTATGTGTATATATATATATGTATATATGTATATACATATATATATATATATCAAGATATCGAAACCCCTGAAAGCTTCGATAAATCTCAGCCCAGCCTCGCCGCGACTTGGCTTCCCTGAGGCCCGGCTCTGCTCAGCTGTGGCTCATTGACTTCGGGGATGCCCGGCTGGTGGATGAGCCCTCCTCCTGGTGGCTCTCTTGAGCGAGTAGTCGATTTTAGGGTTATAGGGTTGCGGAGTTTAGGGCTTAGGGTCTATGGTGTCTGCTCTGCGTTGCATCTCAAGAGGATCAACATGAACTTAGGCTTTAAGGTTTAAGGGCGCTCATGCCAGGAGAACGCAGCGCCCGGGGGACCCCTCGGTGGCATGCCATCCGGATGTTCACTCCGGCGACTTCTCCCCGGCGACGGATGCCTGGTGCCTGGCCCAGGCGGCTGCCTGGACACTGGGTTGCTGCTTAGGAACTTGGTTTTTCAAGTTGCCATAATAGGCACAGGTTCCTTGGGTTGTTGCTAAGGAACGGAATTTAAGCTACCATAATGGGGATATGTAGGATTTAGTAGTAAATATTGGGGTTTCCTTAGTATAACTGCTTAACTGAATTGTCTTAACAGCAACCCAGGATATGGCAGGGCTGGGAACCATGGAATCCAGCGCACCTTGCGACTTGTCGGTGCAAGCTCTGCCGTGCTATGGTTCGCAGATGTATTCTTTAAGACGAGGTTGAAGCCTAAGTTAAGCTCAGGACGATGCTATGCCTCTGCAGCAGATGCTTTACAGGTGCTGGGCCCAGTCAGACTTTTCGAACACCAGAATTCAGGGGTATTGTAATGGTTAATGCCATGCCTTTGACCTTTGCAGCTTTCTGAGTAGAGTTGTTTCGGGAGCTGTTGCCTTGCAAGTTGCTAGCTAGCTAGCAGAAGTTCGGACCCACTACCGTGTTACAAGTATCCTTTAGAATATCGGACGCCTCATCGTTCTAGCAGCCATTGTTCAGCGAAGTGCCTGACAGGCTCCGTCCAGATACTGCAATTACTGTTGTTGACATAAATCCCGCATTACCTTAAGGACCCTAAACTATGGGAAGCATGGCATGTTCCTTATTGTGGGTAATGCTCAGGATTTATATCATCAACGGTATCCCCATAGTCGTGTGCATTGGAGCGCTGGAAACCACCCAGACATCCCGAAAGCTCTTCGCTGTACAGTCCCTTACCCCTTTCTCAAAGGCTCCATGTACCTTAATAATAGATTCTTAGGCCTTAAAGTTCTGCCTATATGGGCACTTTAAGGCCTACGTATCTTCTACAGGGGCACATGGAGCCTTCGGGTTTTGTCCTCAAGGAATCCTTGATGCCCTGAATCCTGAATCCCCTGAGCCCTTAAGCACTAAACCCCAAACCCGATGCCACCCCCCCCAACCCTAAACCGCTAGACCCTAAGCC